CCTGCATGCCCCACCTCCTCCAGCAAGCCCCACAGCTCTCCTAAGCCTGGCCTTTCTGGCTCTTCCCCATCCTTGTAGATGAGTGCACAGGCCCCCTGTGACGGCCCAAACAACCCTGCCCTCTGGCCCAGTGCAAACACTGATGAGACAGGGCAAGGTACCTAGACCCAGCCAGGGAACAGGGCTACAGAGTCTAAGGCAGACTTGTTTCCCAGACCGTAGCACTGAGAGCCAGACCTTTTGCCTGAGAAGGACCCCAGGCTACCTCAGAAGCCTGCAGGCCAGCGGTGGCCTCAGCTGGCCATCTGTGGGGCCAAGGAGAATGGGATTACCTTTGAGCCCCGTGTGGTTCTTCTTCCTCCATTTCCCTCATTAGCTCCATGCCTGTTCCTGCCTCACCACCCACAGGCCTGGTGTCCTCCCCAGGCAATCTGCTCACCCACTTGTTGCCATGGTGACTCTGGCTGGGGGTGTGGGGACTGAGGGGGGGTCGCCTAATTAAGCAGAAAGGCCACACTCCCACTGTCAGGCCACCCCTCCCCGCCTCCTCTGCCTCCCTCCCTTCCATCCTCCCTCCAGGAGCAGATGAGGGGAGTGTCCAGCCACCATAGCCTGTTACTGGGCTAATTGCGGATGCCTGGGAGGAGGGTAGGAACTCCACTGGGGCCTCCTCACCTAGGAGCAGGAACATTGAACTAGAAGAGCCCAGAGAGAATCCCACAGTGGCCTTGAGTCCCACTGGTAGATGTTGGGCAGCGTCGGGGGGAGGTGATTCCACACTCAGGATGTGGTCTCAGCCCACCTCAGTCAGGGTAAGGCAGACTGTGGATCCAGGCTGCAGAGACTGAGGCAGAGGCTGTGGACAGAGACTCATCTAGGCACTCTGGGATCCAAAAGATGGGGGGAGGGGGCAGCGTCTCTGGGGCACTGGAGCCCTTAGGTCTTGTGATTTTGTTTTCTTTCCTGCCTTGCTTCTATTTCTTTCTCCTACCATCCTTCTGTTCTCTTACCCTTCTTTCTTACCCCTGCTTTCTTACACTCCCATCTTCGTCATCCACCCTTATTCCTTCTTATCCACCCCCTGCTCGCTCTTACGCCTGTCTTTCTTACTCCCTCTTTCTTACCCCTCCTCTTAATAGCCCCCTCTTACCCCCATCTTACCCTCTCTTATGTACCCCACCCTCTCTTATCCCCCTATCCTTCATACCCTTCATCTTCTCTCATCCTCACCCTGCTCGTTTACCCCTTTGCCTCCCCTACCCCCTCCATCTCTTATCCCCCTGCTCTTTCTCCCCAACCCTGTTTTTTCCTACCCCCACTATTACCATTCCTCACCCCAAACCCCATACTATTTCTCACCCTCTCTTTCTTACCTCCTCTCTTTTATCCCCTTACCCTACTGCCACTCTTTCTTACCCCTTAACCTCCTCTCTTACTACCCTTTTTTACCCCTCCAGCTCTCTCTTACCCTGCCTCTTACCTTCACCTGTTCCTTTATACCCTCCTTTCACTCCTTCCTCATTCCTTTGCATGTAGCTTTTATCCCAATAATTTCATATTTAGGAATTATATAAATTCCTAAATAAAATTTTGCACAAGTGTGCATGAGATGTGTATGCAAATATATTCACTGGAGCATTGTTTATAATGGTGAAAACTTGGAAATAACTTAAATGTCCACGGACAGGAGATCAGTACCCTTTCCCTTCCATTCATACGAAACCATTCTCTGTTCTCTTAGCACACCTGCATTTGCTCACCTCCATGCCTTTGCTCAAGCTGTTGCCTCGGCCTGAAGTGCCCTTTGGCTCACTCTACCCATCCCATCTAAAATCGTACTTTGAGGGCCAGCCCGTGGCTCACTCGTTAGAGTGCGGTGCTGATAAAATCGTACTTTGAGTCCAAGCTTAGCTATTATCCCCTCACTGAAATCTTTCCTAGCTTCTCTACTTGTTTCCTTCCAATGGTCCGTGGTTTGACCTCTCCTATGGTATAGATCATATGCCATAGATTCAAGTTAGATGTGTCTACCCCATTAAAGTGGAATTTCCATGAGAATAGGGGCATGTTCTCATTTACTTGCTTTTCATTCACTCAACAGATTTCTTTTATGCATATCATGCTGAGTACACAATGGTTAATGAGACAAACCCATGTCTGCTTACGTGTGACTCACATTTTAGTGATAACAGAGAAACGAAACAAGGATTCAGACAAAGTAGTACTTGTGGTGAATAAACAAGGAAAAGAGAATAAAGGCAGCATCCTCTAGGAAGAGTGGTCAGGGAGAACCTCTCTGAGGAGATGACATTTAAACTGAGACCTGAAAGATGAGAAGGACCCAGCCATTCCAAAAGCCTGTGCCAAGGCCCCAAGGTGGGAGGAAGTAGAGCATGTTCAAGGCAAAGAAGAAAACTTCTGTTTGTGGAGCACGATGAGCTTGAAGGGAGAGGTAGAAAATGAGACTGGAGAGAGAAACAGGAGCGAAGTTACACAGGGGCTTGAAGTCTGTGGTTAGAAACCCGGGCATTAATCTAAATGCATTGAAGGGTTTGAAGCAAGGGTATTACATGATCCGATTGCATTTTGAGAATGCTCTTACTCCTGGGTGGACAGTGGATTGGAAAGACCAAGAGTGGAGGTGGGGAGGCCAGATCAGGGACTCTCATCCAGGTGAGATATGATGGAGGCCTGCACAAAGGTATGTACGCAGAGCTAGAATTGACATGCCTTGATGATGGACTGGATGTGGGGATTCAGGGAAAGAGAAGAATGAAGGCTGCACCTAGGTTTTGTAGCACTTACTGAAATGGTGAAGACTTGAGGGTGAGGACAGATTTGGGATTAACAAAAAAAATCAAGAACTACATTATGAAATTTAGAGCATGTTAAATTTGAGATGCCTGTGAGTTCCAAGCAATGCTTTTTTCCTCAGGGGGTTGATTTGCACCACGACCCCCCTCCCCCATCACCGTCTATCACTGCACCCCTGCTTTGGGAAAAGCCTGTGTGGGACTGCACTGCCAAAGTCCCTGTTCACATCAGATTTATTTGTAGTTTAGTGAAAGTGTTTAAAATAAGCATAAGAAACTGACAGAGTGCTTCTAAGACCATGTTGCTTAGGGTGTGGTTGAAGGGCCTCCTGCAGCAGAATGACCTGGACCCTTTGTTCAGAAATAAAGATTCCGGGCCAGCCCGGTGGCGCACTGCTACAGTGCGCTGCTTGGGAGCGCGGCGGCGCTCCCACCGAGGGTTCGGATCCCACATGCAGACCGGTTCCCACTCACTGGCTGAGCGAGGTGCAGGCACAACACCGAGGGTTGCGATCCCGTTGCCAGTCCCGGCCCGGTCCGGGCGCGACACTGAGGGTTGCGATCCGTTGCCGGACACGAAAAAAGACAAAAAGTTAAAAAAAAAAAGAAAGAAAGAAAGATTCCTAGGGCTGGCCCGTGACTTGTTTGGGAGAGTGTGGTGCTAATAACACCAGGGCCAAGGGTTCGGATCCCTATGTAGGGATGGCCGGTTAGCTCACTTGGGAGAATGTGGTGCTGACAACACCAAGTCAAGGGTTAAGATCCACTTACTGGTCATCTTTAAAAAAGAAAAAGGAAATGAAAATTGCTGAGCCCACCTCAGTCCTCTTGAAGCTGAATTGGAGAGAGGCATCTGCATATTTAATAAATGCCCCAGAGGATTCTGAGGCACACTGAAGTCTGAGAACCATTGCTATGAGGAGCAACTATGAATCCAGAAGGTGCCCCTGAAGATTTCAGGACTGGATGTGGGCAGGGCTCTAACCCCCTGCTTGAGAGTCACCTGGGCATCATGTTAAAATGCAGATGCTGACTTGGCAGATTGGGGGTGGGACCAGAGATTCTGAATTTCTCACAAACTCCCAGGTGATGGTGATGCTGCTGGTCCAGGCCCACACTTTGAATACATGAAGCTAGATCAGTGGTTCTCAGTGGGAGACAATTTTGTCCCCTAGGGAACATTTGAAAATGGTTAAAGATGTTTTATGGTTGTCACAGTGGGGGATGGAAGAAAATACTGCTGGCATCTAGTAGGTAAAGGCCAGGGATGCTGCTCAATATCCTACAGTGCACAGGACAGCCCCCACAACAACGAATTATCTAGCCCAAAATGTCAGTAGTGTCCCTGTTGAGAAACCCTGGGCTTGATGACGACCAAAGAATATGGAGCTGGGAAACTTTCTTAGCTAGGACCCAGTAGGGGTGGGCTAGATAAGGGACAGGAAGTGTACCTGTGAAGTGGAACTGACAAGCAAAGATTCCAGATGAAATGTGGCAGTGTCCATGCTGTCTGCTGTACACCAGGGCTGAAGCCAACAGGACAGAGCATTGATTAAGCTGATAGAGCTCAAAGGCACATGTGGTGCCTGGTAAGGCAGATTCCTGTTTTCATTAAAAAATAACCCCTCAAGTTTATATTGCACTTTAGAGTTTACAAACATTTTCATATGTGCCATATTATTTGATCCACACAACACCCTAATGAGATAGAGCAAGGATTATCCTCTTCATCTCTTTCTTGAATTTAGAAACTTAACATGATCAGCCAAAGAAATGTTTGCTGAATTGAATAGAACTGAAATTTGCCTCATTATACATAAGTAACCTCAGACAAGTCAGGACACCTCTTTGGACCAAGCGTGAGATTATAGGGTTGGATGGGATGATTGGTAAGGCTCCTTCCAGCTCTGACATAGGAGTAATTTTGTGGTTTTTGCCAATGAACAAATTCTAAGTCTTGGGTGACTGCAGATTGGAGGACTCAGGAGTCCTAGCTATGATATTGGAGATCTTAGGGTAGGAGGTAGTGACCTACCTTGACCCACACACTTCTTCCTTTTTGTCCCCTGGATCCTGGGGTTAGATTGGTGAGGCTCTCTTGAGAGACCACAAGTATGCCCCCCATCCCTCTCTTCTGAGGTGGGAAAGGGCTGGCACATGGGCTGATGCTCTTTCCTCTCCCCACAGGCTGTCTACAAGGCCTGGCTGTGCTCAGAATACTTCAGCGTGACCCAGCAGGAATGCCAGCGCTGGGTGCCCTGCAAGCAATACTGCCTGGAGGTGCAGACCCGGTGCCCCTTTATACTCCCCGACAATGAGGAAATGGTGTACGGAGGGCTCCCTGGCTTTATCTGTACAGGTAAAGGCAGGGCACTGGGGAAAGGGGAGGAGGCTGGGGGTCCAGGGCAGGCCACAGGCCAGGGGAGTGGGAGCAGGGAGGACAAAAGGAGAGTTAACTTAGGTCAGTGGCTGGAAGAGTGGGCAGTAAGGTCCCCAGGTTGGGATAGGGCCAAGTGGAATAGGGAAAAAGACCAGAGTGGTCTCTTTACCAAGAACATGCCCAGCCAGGGAATCATCTGGAGAAACTGGCTGGGGTTGGGGTCCCGAGGAAAGAAGGGCTCAAAAGGGGAAGGTGCTGCTCAGCCAGGGGGAAAGGAGTCTTGGACAGGGCTACCTGAGCAGTCCCAGCTTTGAAAATCTTCTCTCTAGGTAAGGCATAGCCATCAGCCCCCTGAGCACCCCACCACGCCTTCCTTATCCATTGGCAGGGTTGCTGGATACTTCACCAAAGCGGCCGGAAACCAAGTGCTGTGACGTGCAGTGGGTCTCCTGTGAGTCGGAGAAGAAGAAGTTCAAGGAGTCTGAGGCCCCCAAAACCCACCACCAGCAATTCCACCACTCCTATTTCCACCACTACCACCAACAATACCACCACTACCACCCCCGCCATGACCCCCCAGGCCGCGTTGGCCACAAGCCCTCCCTGCTGCCGGTCTCTGGGGGCTCCCGCCTCAGCCCCAGCAGGATCCGGCTCTGTGTCCTTGTTCTTATGCTCCTCCATACCATGGTGTCCTTCTCCAGCAACCAGGGCAGTGGGGGACTGGGGCTTGAGACACTGCCTGCCCTAGAGGAGGGCCTGACACAGGAAGAGTGACAGCAGGAAAGGAGGACAGACCTCTACCATACACTGACATCAGCTCCAGCCCCCACAGGTGGAGGGGAGGGGACTCCTCCCATGGGAGGTGTAGGACCAGGTGGGGGCGGGGGGAAATGGGGGACCACATATGCCCCCCAACCTACCCCCACCCCAAAAGCAGCTCCAACAGAACGGCCAGAGGGCCCCAGGGAGCTACAGAACTCATCCAGGAGAAAAAGGCAGGAGCAGCAGATACCCCCCCAGCCCCCATCTATGGGGCTTAGCAAAAAAAAGGGGGGGGAGTGGGGGCTGGAAATGCCCACCCCTGCTGACAGCCCTGATGACCCCAGGGAAGGAGGCTGCTCACCCAGCCTTGGCCCTGCAGGGAATGTTGGGGGGCACAGAGGGGAGAAGCTCTTCCCCCCCCTCCACATTACTTTTGTTGCCAAGATCCTTAATTCCCTCCTGCCCATATCCTTACAGGCGACGGCAGACGTGCAATGGCCCTCCTGCCACTTCAGTGCACCTTGCCCCACTTGGGCCATCACAGGTGAAGCACCAGGCTGGAAGATGAGGTGCACACAGTTGCAGCTAGGTTGGGGCCCCAGTTAAGCTGTGCCCCTCCACCCTAGGCAATGAGGGGTAGGGATGAGCTACAGAATGAGTGGTGAAAGACAGTGATGATAGGGAAGGGGGAGAGGAGAGGAGAGATGTAGGTGGAGGGCTTGGAGAGATGGACAAATGGGCTTCTGCCACCTGGCTTTCGGTAGGTGGGTGGCCAGTGCTGAGGCATGCTCCAGAACTGCTCCCCATATCAGAGAGAGTTGTATAAGGAGCCCTCTGGGGAAAAAGCACAGGAACTGAGTTGTTGGGCCTCAAAACAGAAGGCTTTTAGAGGGCACGTGGTTAGACTGCCGCTGTCTGAAGGGCCATATCTTACAGAAGGTGCACATTCTCCCAAGGGCCGCTCTTGCCCTGGAGATCTTGGCCTTGAGGCCAAAGACATTTTCATCTCCAGTCTCCATGGGGAGGAGGGACTTAAGCCCAAGTGGGTCAGGATCGGCCTGGGTCCTCATACTCCCCCATCTTATCCTAGCCCAGGCCTCCATGAAGGAGAAGCTGGTGGCATTGCCTCAGAGCTCTCCAGAGAAGAGCCTCCCCCATCCCTACCCTGTCCCTGTCCCTGTCCCCAGCCTACCAAAGAGTATTCATCCCTTCCCATCCCTGACCCCATGGGTTGTTACCATCTCAATTATGGAACAACCAGATTCCTACTCACCATGTAGCAGGCTCCCTGCTCCAGGCACCCCTGCCCCTTGCTGGAGAAAGTCCAGAGGCTGGCAAGAGGACCCTTTGACTAAAGATAATGTGCTGTCCTTCCTTAGCTGAGGGACTTGAACTGTTTAGTTGGGCTACAGGACCGGAGGAGAGAAGAGGCATCAAGAGCCCCTTGGAGGCATTAGCCTTGTGCTGGTTCGCTGGGAGGGAGAGGCCACATTGCCTGGGACATCTAAAAGCTAATAAAAGCCAACAAGAAAGGGAACCAGAACCAGAACTGTGTTCCTGGGACAGGCCAGGCGGCCTTCAGTATCATCTAGGATATGATGCTAGTTGGGGCAGAGGGGGGCTGGAACTACATTAGAGTGAAGCCAAGAAGGCAATGGGGAGGGGAGAGCTGGACTTAGGAATGAATGGGAGGCCTCCCTAGTAGAGAGGGAATCAGTCAAGGGCCTCAGCTGGGTTCCAAATCTACTTCATGACATTGGAGAGTCCTTCCCTGCCAGTTTTCTTATTTCTCACAGCCTGTGCCCCCACTCCAGTGCCCTGCCCACACACTTTCCTGTTTGGCCCTTGACACTTTGGGCCTGGCCACATACCCCATCCCACGAGTGCTCTTTTCAGCTGGAGGGGGAAAGAGGTGCTGGTTCCTTTCCAGACATGCTTATGTATAAGTGAAGAGGCAGGTAAGGTACTGCCTTCTAACTCCTGCATCCTCAGGAGGGGAAAAGGGAATGGGAAGTAAAGAGGGAACACATGGCCCCAGAGAATGGATCCTTGGAGACTCCCATCCTCTCTTCCCCCTCACCAAGTGCCCAGGAGACCCCTGGCTCAGACCAGCCCAAGGCCTTGCCCAGTGGCAGGGGAGTGGGACACCACACTCCACCTCAATGTCATTTGACTGCCCCCATCCACCCCACCACCCTGATCTTCCACCACCTCTCCGGCTGCCCCTGCCCTCCATCATAGGCAGCAGAGCCGGGCAGCTCTTATGCCATTTTCTACACTGTGCTTCATGAGTAGAACTTTCTTGCACTAGTCCCTATGACTGAGTCTCCAAGCTGGTTTCCTAGTAATCCCCCATCCCTTCCTCCCTTACCCAGCTATGATTCAGTTGTCTCCACCGCCACCCCCCCCCGCCCCTCTTACCCCTGCCTCTGTGTTTCGGTGAGAGTCTTTGTATGTGTACTGCTTTCTGTTTTGTTGCATTGTGGAGCAGAGGCCTCTCCGCTCTTGTTTAACCCCATAAAGAAATAAATGGTAAGACTTGATGATGTCCCTCCCTTCATGGCTTTGTTCTGCGGAGTCAAGCTTGCTGTTTGAGGAAATAGTGTGGACTGCGAAAGGGATGGGACCAAAGGATGCTGACCCTGTGCCCAGCCCCCTGTCGGTTCAAATGTCAGTAGAAAAAAGGATAAACTCTGTGGTAGACCATTCTAGACAACCAGCTATCTGCAAGGATCAGGGAGATAACTGTAAGGAACGAAGTGGGCCAGGCTGGGGAAAGGTACAGACTCAAACGTGGGTGGCGAGAACTGCAGGGCATGTGCAAAGGGGGCAGCTGGAGCCCAGGTCTTGTGGGAATGTGGGCCCAGTGTTCTCAGACCTTATTCTTCAAGGGAAGTCAGGACTCAGAATTCTGACGTGAATCTCCCTAATTCCTAAAAGTTGGCTCAAGTGTAGAAATAAACCAACCAACCTACTTCCTGTGGGATAAACATGTCTGCAGGCCCCACATGGCCTGGGGATTACCAGTTCACCTGTGTTGCAGCCTTCAGTTCTAGACTACCAGCCCTGTCTCCCACACCACTTCACCAGGCCCATTTTCCCACCGCAGGACTGAAGGGCACTCAGGAAGAACTGCTGGAGGGGCTACAGAAAGAGTCCTTGACCACTACAACCTCTTTCACATAAACAGGGGAAAGGAGAGCATGGTTAGGAAGTTCAGCAGCCTGACTAAAGTGCCAAATTACTTTTCCAGGAAAACACGAGTACCCCAGCTCTCCCCAAAGCAGCATAACATGAAGGTTAAGGCATGGTGTCTAGAGTCAAAGACTGTATAAGCTCAGTCTAGCCACCACCACCTCCTATTTGTATGACTCTGGACGAGGTCCTTTACTTCTTTGAGTCCTGGTTTCCTCATCTATCAAAAGGGTTATTGTGAGAATTAGATGAAGTACATAAAGCACTTGGCACAACAGCTAGCACAAAGGAGCCACTCAAATGCTGATAATTATTATCATTAATCACTCAGTCTCCTCTTCCCTTCACCCCCACCTAATATGGTCACCAAGTTTTGTCATTCTCCCTCTGTAATATGTGTCCAATCCTACCCCTCCTTTTCACCCCAACTCCCATTAAGCCACTTCAGGCCCTCAGTGGCTCTTGCCTGGACTACTGCAGTAGCCTACCAACTAATCTCTTTTCCAATTACTCTGGCTCCCATCCATCCTCAGCCTAGCACAGTGCCAGGCATTTAAGGGGCACTTGATAGATATTTTGTGAAAGAAGTGGTGTCATGTTTGAGTTTCCTAAAGGACACAGCTTCTTCCTAAAGCTATTACACCCCTCAAAAACAAACAGAAACATCAAAAACATTGGCTCCATATTGCCTATACAATCAAGCGTAAACTTCTGTGCATGACATTCAAGGCACTTTGTTTTCTGATCCTATCCTATCAGTCTGACCTTCCACCATAGGTGCTCATGCACTCACAGCCCAGCCCCATTTCCCTACTGGTTGTTCACTGAATGAGCTCTGTACCTTCTCATCTCTTGCCCTTTGCTCACATTGTTTCTTCTGCCCAGAATGCCCGCTATGTCTCTGCCTATCATTGTCTTACCTAGTTTTCAAAGCCCAGCTCGAATGCTACCTCTGCTATGAAGACTTCCATATTCCCCTCTCTAGAAACAATCTCTTCCTTCTCTGTATTTTGATAACACTTCGTATCTTAATTGTGGTACTTATTACATCCTGCCTGTGTTCAACCTAGTCATTCATTCACTCATTCATTCAAAATAGATTTATTAAGCAATTACTATATGTCAAACACTGTGCTGAGTGCTGGCAATAAAGCAGGAAACAGACATTATAGACCCACAAGATAACATGACCTTATGCATTATACAAACATAATATGCTCACTATAACATTAGAGTTGTTGTTTCACTGCATGTCCATGAGGAGGGAGCCAGGCTCTCTTGGTCTTGGGCATAGGAAAGAGAAGTGGGGGATTGGAGGTCCTGCTTTAACCTACACACAAAAGTAGAGGGGGCTACATACCCACAGTGCTAAGAGAGTCAAGGGCACAATGACTGTGCCAAGGAAGTATCTTTACCAGCCACATGTCACCCTTTGACTCCTGGACTAAGCTAGATCACCCTGCAGCTGCCTCTCAGAGCTCTCTCTCCCCCACTCTATCTATCCATGCCCAGGCCCTGGCACTCTCCCTTCAGATCAGTCCAACTGCAGACAGCCTCAGTCTCTTCTAGCCTCAGCATTTAGTGAGGAGGGAGGACACAGCCCTGACAATGCATCAGCATCACCTGGAGAGTTCTAGCTCTGGCCCCACCAGCATAGTCTGATTTAATCAGTTTGGGGTGGGGGGTCCCAGCTTCGGTATTGTTTAACAAACTCCACATGTGATTATAATGTGCAGCCAGGCTTGACGATCACTGGGTGAAGAGAAGGCTGGGGCTACGTGAAGTCCTTGTTATTTGAGGATAAGTGGTGCTAGAAAAAGGCCACTTACAATGAATCCACTTGAAATGGGGACCGACATTTCACAGTAGAGTGGGAGAAAAGGGAAAAAGGGTTTGATTGGGACTTTATCTTGAGAAATAAAGTTAGAAATGTGGAAAATATTTTAGTTTCAATTTAACGTGTGTAAATAATCGCAAATATTCACTAATTCTTGAAACGAACAAAGAATGAATCAAGCATTGGGGGCAATTTTCCTGACCAAAGTGCATGAGACCATAATATTGACTTTTGCAGCACAGTCATAAACAGAGTTTTTGTTTTGTTTTTCCAAAAGTATAGAGCTTCTTCAATTATCCCAAGGACCTCTTATAATCCTTTGAGAGTTGAATCATTCTTTTAAAGCCTTGATCCTGTCATTACCCAAGTCAATTTTCTCTTCTGCCAGTGGTAACTGGTCTATCTCTGCCAAATCCCCATTTATCAAGTACTTTACATGACATTAGACATGGTCTCCAACATCTCTTTCTTCGACTTCATGAAACCTTGAATATTTTTCAAGACCTGCAGTTTCACCCTGAGATTTATTCGCATTATGTAATACCAACAATTAACAAGAGCCCAAAGACCTTAGTGTAGTAAGTGTTGATAAACAGTATTAGGGTGTTAAGTGGGAGGAGGGGCTTATGTGGGACTCAAAGTAGTGAATATGTTACGTATGACAACTTTGCATTTCTACCCAACTTCATAAAGTCTCTTTTCCCTTTTTAGGCTTTTAATCTGCTTATCTCTAAAGTAAAGGGATAGGATTAGATGTTGTTATAAAGATTAAATAAATTAACTCAAATGAAATAATATATGTGAAGTCATTGAACCCAGTTGCTAGCACAAAGAAGCAACTCCATAACTCCTGCTTTTTCTTCCCTCCAAAACATTTTTAGATTCTTTTAGGACACACTGAGGGACAAAGAAAGAAAAAAGGGAGAAGTCCGTTAGAGCAACTAGAAAGAATTCCCAGAACTTCTGTGCCAGGCCCAAGTTTCTGTCCCACTGCTGTTACCTCCCATCACATTCACTGTGGTGGGTCACAAAGATCTCTTCACTCAACACTGAACACCTATGAGGCTAACTGCTTAGGGGTGTAGAATGGGAATCCAAAGATCACTCAGACATGGAATCTGCCCTCAAGAAGCTCCTGGGTTGGCTGGGGAGAAAATACATGAACAGAAATTGCCCCAAATACCTCTAGAATCTGACCATTTCTCCCACCTCCATTGTCACCACCTAGTCCAGGCCACCATCAACTCTCTCTTGGATCACTGCAATGGCTTCCTAACTGGTCACCCTGCTTCCAAGCTTGCACCCCACACGCAGTCCACCCAGAGTGATCTTTTAAAAGTGCAAACCAGATCACATCTTTCCCCTGCTAACACCCTCCCATAGTTTCCCATCTCAATCAAAATAAAATCCAAACTCCTTACTATGGCCCACTGGGTCCTACATGACCTGCCACTTGCTTACCTCTCCAACCTCACCCAATACAGTACACTCCCTTCGCTCTCTTCCAGCCACCCTCCCGTCTTTTCCTCTGATATGTTAAACTTGTTCCTGTCTCAGGACCTTTGTACATGCCATTCCTCAGCCTGAATTGTTCTTCCCCCAGATTTTTGCAAGGCTGACTCCTCATTATCAGGTCTCAGCTCACATGTCACTTTCTCAGAAAGGCCTTTCCTGACCACTCCAGGTATAGCAGTGCCCTTCTTGCCCCAGGCACTCTATCATACCACCCTACTTTTCATATCCAGTACCTGTAACTGTTTGAAAAGATCTTGTTTATCCATTGGCTTTCTTGTTGATTACCTCTCTCTCCATTTAAATGTAAGCTCTGAGTAGACAGGACCTTGTTTGTCTTGTTCACTATCTCCCCAGTGCCTCAGGCAATGCTCACTGAGTGAATAGATGTGTTATGAGTGGTTCATTTGGGCAGGAGTGAGTGGCATAGGATGTGTGGAGTGGGTGGCAAGAGATGAGCTTGAAAGATAGCCTGAGGTCAAAACACAAAAGGCCTTAGGCCAAAGGTCAGGCCAGAGAATTTGGGCTTCACACGACGACCCACTGGAAGCCATGGAAGATTGTTGAGATTGAGAAGAATATTGTCAGCTGACCTGGAGTAAGATTCATCTAGTGCCATGTGCCGGGTGAATTGGTGGGTGAAGTGAATGGAGGGTCTGGTTTCAGAGCCCATCAACCACTGTGTGCCCTGCTTTTGCACTTGCTTTCCTCCAGGCCCTTCTCCGCAGCGCTGCCAGGTTGCACCCAGCTCCCCTGCTCTTCTGGGGCCACGGAAGAGCCCTGACTGCCGTTCCCCTACACCGGCCGCAGGGTGGCGCTGTGGCTCCTCCTACCCGGGCTGGAGGCTCCAGGGAGGCGGAGGCGCAGACAAGAGCCCAAAGACCTTAGTGGGCCCGCCCTTGCCTGCTCTCCTTCGCCTCTGGCTGTCTTTGGCTTTCCCACCAGCCCGGCCAAAGGTGAGCCAGAGGCGGGGGGCCTGGGCGGGCGCAGGAGGGGCCTGGGC